TTTTTTTTTTTTTTTTTTGCTATTTTTGGTGAATACTCAAACGAGTTAAGTTAATTGTACATAAGAAAATATTTTATGAGATAGAGCACCGACAAACTAGAGATGTCCCTGTCGTCTTATTTATTTATTTATTTATTTATTTTAACATTTGTGTTTGTGTACCTACAAAGGATAGACTTGATCGTGCATGTCACGTGGATTTTGGGTCTATTTAGTAATTTTTAATTTGAATTATTTGAACAATATACGGTACATATTTAAAAAAATTTCATAATTGTATACCAGAAAACTTTTAAAGTTGAAGTATTAAATGTGTGCAAAAAATTTATTCTTAAACGAGAAATTTGGAGTAAGTAATTGATAGAGTTTAATTTATAGGATTGATAGTATAAAAAATTATATTATCAATTAATTAAGAAATATTTTTTGAAATAATTTTAAAATAATTATTTTAAAAATTATTACATATGATTTATCTAAAGTGAAACTTATATTTCAGTCAATATTAGTTTGCGATGAAATTTTAACACATTGATTTAAAATCAATTAAATCATAATATAAATCTCCTCTCCAAGAAAAGTGTTGTATATTTACACATTTGTAAAGTGTTAAATAAAGTGTTAAATAACTCATGTAATGTATAAATAGATTATCTGTGAAAAAATGTAAAAAGACAATTACTTACAAATTTTTAACTTTTGGTGAGTGTAACATTGTGCATTTTTTTTAATAATTATTTTTTATTAAATTATGTATTGAGGTGATTTATTGTTTAACTATTGAAAAACTTTGAAAATTTAGGAATTCTTATAAGTTTTAGCCATTTAGGATTTTTGTGAGCAGAAGTTAGATTGATCAGCCCCAAGAAGATATATAAGGTTTCTTTAAAACTTGAGTTTCGTAAGTTTAATTCTTAAAGAAAATTATAGAGGAGTTAAAGAGAGGACCTTTAGAATTCAAGGAGAACTATTTTCTCTTCCAACTCTACAAATTTTTTCTCTTCTTTCCCTGATTGTAGATCCTATGGCTGCATAGGTGTTTCAAAGCTCCAAAGCCAAGAATCAAAATAGTTGGAGGTGGCGGTGCAAAGTAGCTCAAAGTGGTCATTCCACTTTCTCCTACCTTTTTATTGATTAATTATGATGCGAGAGAAGTTAATTAGAACTTAATTATTTGTTTATCTTTAAAATTGTATTTTGTGCTTGAGTTTCTTGATTTTCAAGTGAAGGGAACCAATTTCATGATTATGCTAAAAGTATATTTCATTTTTAGGTTGGATGCAACTTCAAAGCATCAAGTATGATGATATGTTAGAAGTTTTTTATCTCGCTCCCGTTGGACACGATATTGGTAACATCGGACGTGAGTTAGAAAAAATTCTCTGATTTGGTTACATTAAATGTATGTTGAATGATGTCGAAAAAATATGTGTAATATTCGTAATAAATATGCTATTTATTTAACTAGATAAGATGTGTGTGAAAAAAAAAAAGATAAATGATAAAAATAAAGGAAAGGAGATATAATAAAGTATATGACAAATGATGTGAGTAAAATTTAAGTAAAAGATGAAGGAAAAAAAATAGAATGAAAGTGAAACAAATGTATTTATAATTTTTTTATATTTTAATAAATTATCATGTATAATTTATAATTTTTACTTTTTCTACTTATTTTTAATTTTCATTTGAGTCTCTCTGTCTCTGTATATATATTTTGTATATTAAAAAAGTTTAGCTCAATTGATTTTAGGATGTGTGAGCCGTGGTAAAAAGATTATACCTAGAGTACGAGAAGGAAAAAAAAAAATACTGTGAACCGGGTTTTAAAACTTAATTATTGAAGCACAAAAGTTATTTATAACTATAATACAATTAATGTATTTGTTTGTTAAAATTATCATGAAATATAAGACTAATATGCATGTGCTTTTCCAAATAATCTTAACATGACCCACATTTAAATTTTTTATTTTATAAAAATAATTAATAACACCTAATTATATATAATATAAAATTAAGATGGTACATGATAGTCAGCAGTCTATCTGATAAATAATAATATAATTTACATTATCAAAAACTGCTTAGTATATTATAATTACTTTGAATATTTTGTATATCCACAATCAGGTAACGCCTTAATTAAAAAAAAAAATCAATATAATAGTATCTGTCTTTTTAACAATTACCATATAAGTTTTGATTGTCACGTTATAGTGTCATGTTTAAAGTATATGTTTTTAAATATATTTTAAACAAAACGGTCAAATAATTGTTCTGTAGGGTTTATAATAATAAAGTTAAAAGTTTAGGGAGGAAAAGGCACTATGCTGTTTCAAAGTTGAATATCCTTATTACTTAATTTATTAGCAGGGGGTTACGAATTACATATTTTTTTTCACTAGTATCAACATTCTTTGCTTAAATATTGACTTAGATTATGTGGCATGAATTGTTGGGGTGCGCCGAAGACACAAGCGGTTTCATGCACCGCCTGTATCAGCACCACAGATCCCATAAATAAAATCCGTTGGCTCACTGTGCTTGCCGCATGATCATAAAGCAAAGAAATAGATTGACTAAAGTAGACACAAAGAGCAAAACCAGCATAAGTAAGCCTCTAGTTTAACCCTTCCAATGTTCCAAACTCCAACAAAACAGCCAAAACGCATCAAATCCATGGGCCATCCCAAGTACCAAAAAAAAATTAAGACACAAATTTCAACATCCACATCAACCTCACTCACCCCTCTATAAATATTTTCCCTTCCCCTTCACAACATTCATCAATTCCTCAAACGCACATCACAGATCACAGATTAAGAAGAGAACATCATCATCACAAAGACACAACATGGAGGCAGTTCAGTCATGGGTTTCAAAGAACAAGCTCACCAGCATTGGTTAGTTATATCACATACACAACTTTGTACATTATATTATATATAGTATGGTAGATAATGAAATGGATATTATCACAGGGGCACTCTGGGCATCTGGAATCGGAACATCACTCGTGGCTTATTCATGCAAAAAGTCTCCAATGAAGCCAAGTCTGAGGCTTATCCATGCTAGGTAACCTTAATTAATTCTCACAAAACCTTAACCATTTTTAAATAATGTTGTATGCCCCCACATGATTGACTTGTTTGGCACATGGTTTCGCAGAATGCATGCTCAGGCGCTAACTTTAGCAGTGCTGTCTGGTGCAGCTGCTTATCATTATTATGAGAAACGTTCTGTTGAGCCAAAACCAGTGGCGGATAATATTCCTGCTCCCAGTCCCAATGTCACCCAGATGCTTGAATATGAACTCCACACTCCTTTCTAAATTACAAATTAAACTATAGGGGTCTTGTTATTAATATTAAGACGATCGATCATGATCCTATCATCAAGTTATCGCTTTTTAATTCTGTTGTGTATTTTGATGAATGATCTGACCTCAGAACTAATATTGTCGTGCAATGAAGCATTTCTATGATCTGAGGGATCCCAAGACTATCTAAATTTTCTGATGTACATATTCAACTTTTATGACAAGTTTCAGGTTGAATTAAAATTTATTGTAGGTGTAAAATGCTTGACCTTATCTACTCTACGTACAAATCTTCCACCTGACACACATTTTATCGAATTTTATTGCTAGTATAATGAGTTTTGGTTATGCGACAAAATGAATCTAGAATTAATAATTAACGAGTGGGACGCAATAGTATAAGGGGTTGAAGCGCATATGATATGAAATTGTCCAACAGAAACCAATGGGCTCTTAAATATGATTCACGCTCATTCAAGAGATCAAGAAACTATTAGGAGGTGGCTGAGATATATCCGTTTGTTTTAGTTAAAAATATTATTTTATGATATTTGTGCTTTTTTTTTTTTTTTTTTAGAAAGCTTTGTCT